AAATCCAAAAGGGCTCAACCCTCCAAGACACCCTTCAACCCTCAATTCTCAACCCTAGACCCTAAACCCTCAACCCTAAACCCTAAACCCTCAACCCTAACCCTAAACCCCCTAAAACCTAAACCCTAAAACCTAAGCCCTAAACCCTAAACCCTATACAACCGCCATTCACGACCAGGCCTCTTTCACCTTCCGCGTTTATGGTCCAGCACTGCGCGAGAAGCGGAAACCTGGAAGCCCAAAAGCCTAAGCTAAAACGCTAAAAAGTTGAAACCCTAAACCCTGACACCCCAAACCCTTAAACCTCTGGAAACCCTAAACCCCTGAAACCCTAAACCCTAAACCCCAAACCCTAAACTGCAAACCCTAAACTGCAAACCCTAAGCCCCAAACCCCAAACCCTAAACTGCAAACCCTGAACTGCAAGCCCTCAACCCTAAACCCTAAACCCAAAGCCAACTCAGTGGCCTCGTAGAAGGCGTCCCCCCACGGGTCGAAAGCAACAGAGAACTGTTCCTGCGGATATCGGGGATTCGGGGTTTCGGGGTTTAGGTTTTAGGGTTTTGGGGGGTTGAGGGGAGTTTGGGAGTTTGGGGGTTTAGGGGTTTGGGGGTTGAGGGGAGCTTCGGAGTTTGGGGTTTAGGGATTTGGGGATTCAGGGCTTGGGGTTTAGGAGTTCGGGGCTTCCCAGGATTCCCTAAACCCTAAACCCTAGACCCTACAGACCTTTCCAGGCATTTCGGGTTTAGGGTTTAGGCTTGTAGGGTTTAGGGTATTCACAAGAGGCCCATACGGCTCAAGGGTTAAACGCTTAATCACTTACTCCGGATCCGGATTCAGGGATCTGGCAGAGGAGGGAGGCTGAGTGCTATCAGCCGAACTTTTGCGCCCAAGTGCAGATGGACGTGTCCAATTCACTGCCATGCACATGGACATATGCAGCTGCAATCTCTTCCACAGCACCTTGCTTTGAGGCCGACAGCCTTATTCGCTTGTGGAGGATCTTTGGTGCAAAGCTCTAGGTCAATTCATCAGGGCACCACGGTGGGCTCGGATCTCAGTCGGCATTTACCAATCTTCCTTGGGAGTCCGCAAATATGGTGGTAGAAACCCCCTCCCCCTAACCCCTAAACCCTTCACAAAAACCCAAAATCCTAAACCCTAAACCCTAAACCCTAAATCCCCAAAAAGGGGACATGAAACCCCTACTTCGTGGAAATCCCACTTATCGGGGGGTGGGGGGGGGGGGGGGGGGGGGGGCAGGCAGCTGGGTTTTTGGGTTCAAGGGTTTGGGGTTTAGGGTTTTAGGGGTTAGGTTTAGGGTTTAGGGTTTAGGGTTTAGGGTTTAGGGTTTAGGGTTTAGGGTTTAGGGTTTAGGGTTTAGGGTTTAGGGTTTAGGGTTTAGGGTTTAGGGTTCAGATTACTTTTGGGGTGCGGTGGGCCTTCGTCTCGGGCTTGATAGCCAGCATGTGACAGGGCCTCCGTGAACATGCACACCCCGAAATTCCTAAGCGCCCGGACCCCAAAACTTTATGCCCTAAACCTCCCAAACCGCTGAACCCAAAACTCTGAACCCCTAAAGCTTACACCCCCAAATCGTAATACCACTTCTTTCCCTTAAACCCCGAAAACTCGAAACCCTAAACCTAAACCCTAACCCTAAACCCTAAACCCTAAACCCTACACCCTAAACTGGAGAAGGACTTCAACTCTCGCCCTCAGCCCCACAAGGCCCGAAAGCCCTGTACAGCTGCTGATGCCCTGCACTTGCGCTGAAGGTCTTTTGGCTAGGGTTTAGGGTTTAGGGTTTAGGGTTTAGGGTTTAGGGTTTAGGGTTTAGGGTTTAGGGTTTAGGGTTTAGGGTTTAGGGTTTAGGGTTTAGGGTTTAGGGTTTAGGGTTTAGGGTTTAGGGTTTTAGGTTTAGGGTTTTGGGTTTAGGGTTTAGGGTTTAGGGTTTAGGGTTTAGGGTTTAGGGTTTAGGGTTTAGGGTTTAGGGTTTAGGGTTTAGGGTTTAGGGTTTAGGGTTTAGGGTTTAGGGTTTAGGGTTAGGGTTTAGGCTTTAGGGTTTAGGGTTTAGGGTTTAGGGTTTAGGGTTTAGGGTTTAGGGTTTAGGGTTTAGGGTTTGGGGGGTAGGGTTCCTTACATGCAGGCATACTACGTAGACTAAAGACTTAGATAGGTTTAGGGTTTCGGGTTCGTATCATCCGACTTCCCTATAGCAGTTATAGATGGTCGCCACTTAAGAAACCTAAGTGGCCCCACAAACCCTCCCTCCCCTAGGGTCCCCCTTAGAAAGAGTCCTTTCATGGAAGCACCTTCAGCGTTTGGGGCTTAGGGTTTCATGGCTTAGGCTCATCTTCCATCTCCTCTGCAGGGTGACCTGGTGGTGACCTTCCCAATGAGGCTGTGCACGGTCTGACCATCAAGTCGAGCGACCGCTGGGATTGAGAGCTCGTATGCTGGCACCTTCCTCTCCTCAACGTCGGTCTCGAGGCTCACGCCAGGGCCATATGCTGTCTTGGATGTGATGACAAGTGTAGCGCCCACAATGAGAGACAAGATATTCGCAAAATCAGGCTGGGTTCGGTAAAGTTCAGGATCAACCTGGAGTTGGTAGTCTCCTGCTGCTGCTCCTCCAGGTGTAGGGTTTAGGGTTTAGGGTTTAGGGTTTAATTAGGGTTTAGGGTTCAGGGTTCAGGGTTCAGGGTTCAGGGTTCAGGGGTTCAGGGTTCAGGGTTCAGGTTCAGGGTTCAGGGTTTTGGGTTTTAGGGTTTAGGGATTCGGCACGCCCCTAAAGCTCTAAGCTCGGTAATCCAAGATCCTCAAAGAACGGTCCGAGCCGCTTGAGCGGCAGCATCTTGCCAGCGTTCTCGCACTCAAAGAGGTACGTGTACCTGCTGCCGGGCTTCAGATTCGGGATTTCGGATGGTTTTTTGGCGTTTTGGGTGTAGCCAACAACCCTAAACCCTAAACCCTAAACCTCCCTTTACTAACCCCTGAGCCCTAAACAGACCCCAAGCCCTCCGAAACCCTAAACCCTAAACCCGTAACCCTAAGTCCCTGAGCCCCAAACCCTAGACTCTAAAAACCTTCAACTCTAGAGGACCCCAAAAAAGCTCAAAGTCATTCGGGTTTAGGTGGGGTTTAACGCTCAGCGTTTGGTATTTAGGATTTAGGGTTTATAAAGTTCAGATTCAGGAAGCCCTCCGAACAAAATCCTACGCCTCAAACGCCCAAGGGGGCACACGACGATGTCCACCAGCGCTGTCTTCGCCAGATTCTGCGTTCGCAGGTCTGAAAGCCTCCACGTAAACAGGGAGTGTTTAGGGTTTAGGGTCTAGGGTCTAGGGTCTAGGGTTTAGGGTTTAGGGTTTAGGATTTAGGGTTTAGGGTTTAGGGTTTAGGGGCATGGGGCCTGTAGGCCGCTCTTTAAGTTTTAAGGATTTCGGGAGGCGGGGGTGTGTAGGCCTACCCTAAACCCTAAACCCTAAACCAGAGATTTAAGATCCTAGGGGCTCTGAATTTGTGATCAGGCGCCAATAGCCAGAGGGGCTTACTGCGATGACGCAGAGAATTGATGCGTCCAGGATGTCCCCGCGTTTCACAGCTCCAGCGTTTTCTTTCAGAAGAGTTCCTCCCTGAAAGCCTAAAACACCTCGCTTCCTCAACGAGTAGAGCTGCACAGGCTCCACAGACAGCTCTGCTGTCTGGATTGACGTCTCAGGCTGCCGCAATGCGATGGACGCCAGGCACGAAGACCACAAGCCATCGTGGCGGAAGTAAATTCGACCAGAACTATCGTGCCACCTTGTCTATCCACCCACCTGGTCGCATATGGCACTTCGACCGAATGCGCGAGAGCATAATCGGACCCTAAACCCTAAACCCTAAACCCTGAACCCTAAACCCTAAACCCTACTACTCCCCCCCAACCCCCAAGGTAATGAAGCTAGAAAGCTAGGATTGAGGTTCGGAGGCATGCAAGGTTCAGAGTTCAGGGTTCAGGGTTCAGGGTTCAGGGTTCAGGGTTCAGGGTTTAGGGTTTAGGGTTTAGGGTTCAGGGTTCAGGGTTCAGGGTTCAGGGTTCAGGGTTCAGGGTTCAGGGTTCAGGGTTTAGGGTTTAGGGTTTAGGGTTTAGGGGTTTGTTCTCAACCACAAAACCTAAACCTTTCTTGGTTGAATCGGGCTTAGACTTAGTTGCTGAGTTCATAAGCCCCAAGAAAGTGTACACTTTCAGTTCTACAGGTGATTTATGTCCCAAAACGTGTAAAGTGTGCCCGCTCAGCTACTGAGTAGAAGGATAACCTCACAAAGGGAACTACGGGAGTCCCAGAGAAGTTCTACTAACCCAGGCAACGTGTTTCGGAAAAGTCTAAAGGCCCTGAGAAGGGTTTAGGGATTTGGGTTTTGGGTTTTGGGTTTAGGGCTTAGGGTTTAGGGTTGGCTATCCTGAACCCTCATCCCGCCAGTGACGACGCACGCCCATTCCTGAGTCTCAGTCACTACCCTTAGACCAAAAGCCCAAACCCTAACCCTAAACCCTAAACCCCAAGACTGAGAAGCCAACCCAGCAGCTAGGACGAGATCGGTGCGGCCACGGAGGTAGTTCCTTGCTTTGAGGAGATCGGTTGGCTGTTGTTCCGTGAAAAGGGTTTAGGGCTTAGGGTTTAGGGTTTAGGGTTTAGGGTTTAGGGTTTAGGGTTTAGGGTTCTGGGTGTAGGGTTTAGGGTGTAAAGGAGGCTGTCCCAGGCCCATCCTTCCTTTCTAAGCACGTATTAAGGGTCTATTTGGGCTCCTTCAGGGCCGTATTTGGGCTTGAAGGACATGAAAACCCTGAGCCCGAACCCCTTGCATGTGTCGGGGGGCTCGATGGGCGAGTTGCTGTTCCCTTAAGAAGGCAGTTCCACATTTAAAAAAAAATGCAGGGTTTGCTTATTAGAGCACAAGCAAGCGCATCCTTGATGAAGACAACAGGGGCCCAAGTGGCGCATGAATCCCTCCTACTTATCGTTGGATTCTTTCGCTGCCTGGACTTCTGCCTGAGGTGGCCCTGGTGCCTCTACATCCTCAGATTCGTCAGGGATGAACAGGTCCTCTTCCTCAGCAACATCACCTGGCTGTGTGTCACCGAGGTCTTCCCCATCGTACGCCTCCGGAGGTGGGAGTGGAACATCCTCAGGCACGGGTTCGCCCACCCATATGGAAAAGTGGATACGCGCAACATAGAACGTGCTTTGACCATGCTGAGCATCCTCTCCTTTGATGTATGGCCCTGCCACGTCGGTCATGAGATTCAAGAGCGTTGTGTGCTGCTGCCTCCGATGCGGACGGATCGAAGCTGCAGCCTGCAAGCATACGCTGCAGTCCTTCCTCCACGGCAGGTGGCCTTGCGTGCAATGTTGTTTCCATTCTGCGAACGACGGCAGCATGGACTCCAGTAAATGCCCTATTTCGGCATGGTAAACCCTAAACCCCCAAACCTTAAACCCTAAACTCCCAAAACCCGAAACCCCGAAACCCTAAACCTAAAAACACTACCCCGAAACCCTAAACCCTGAAAACCCTACCCCGAAACCCCGAAAACCCCAAACCCTAACCCCTAAACCCTAAACAACCTAAACCCTAAACCCTTAACCCGAAACCCTAAACTCTAAACCCTACCCTAAACCCTAAACCCTAAACCCTAAACCCTAAACCCTAAACCCTAAACCCTAAACCCTAAACCCTAAACCGTGACTGAGGCTCCCCGCTGCACGTTCCGCCCGCCGTGGCGCACAACGTATGCCTCGAGGTCGGCCTCTGCCAGGACTGAAAACCCAGCGACCCAGGGACCTCTGAATTTAGGGTTTTAGGGTTTAGGGTTTGGGGTTTAGGGTTTAGGGTTTAGGGTTTAGGGTTTAGGGTTTGGGGTTGAGGGTTTAGGGCTTCGGGTTTACGGTTTGGGGTTTGGGGTTTAGGGTTTGGGGTTGAGGGTTTAGGGTTTCGGGTTTAGGGTTTGGGGTTTGGGGTTTAGGGTTTGGGGTTGAGGGTTTAGGGTTTCGGGTTTACGGTTTGGGGTTTAGGGTTTAGGGTTGAGGGTTCAGGGCTTAGGTTTTCAGGGTTGAGGGTTGAGGGTTTCGGGTTCAGGGTTTAGGGTTTAGGATTAGGGATTTAGGGTTTAGGGCTTCGGGTTTAGGGTTTGGGGTTGAGGGTTTTGGGCAACCGGCTGTGGGCCAAGCAAGGGAAACACTGACATACAAACAAGAATCCACAATTCCTTAAAACCCGAACAACCCCCCCCCCAAAAAAAAAAAAAAAAAAAAACGAAATCACCCAACAAAACCTTTAAAAAAAAAAAGCAGCAGCCTTTTAGGGTTTAGGGTTTAGGGTTTAGGGTTTAGGGTTTAGGGTTTAGGGTTTAGGGTCTAGGGTTTAGGGTTTAGGGTTTAGGGTTTAGGGTTTAGGGTTTAGGGTTTAGGGTTTAGGGTTTACGGTTTAGGGTTTAGGGTTTAGGGTTCAGGGTTCAGGGTTCAGGGTTTAGGGTTTAGGGTTTAGGGGTTTAGGGTTGACTCAAACCCTCCGCCCCAGGCCCCCCAAGACTTTCTCAACTTTTGTGGCGCTCCCAACTGGATTGCGGCCTGAGATTCAGAAGCCCAGTTGGAGAAATTGAGGGGCTGGGTGCCCAATCCGGGTGGTGAGGAGAACAGTAAGGCACTCACAGTTCCCTTAAATAGGCCTCATTATCCCTTCGTCGCCTCATTATGAGGGGAACCTAGGGGGTGGGTAGCCTTAAACCCTAAACCCTAAACCCTAAACCCTAAACCCTAAACCCTAAACCCTAAACTTCGGGTAGTATAGGGGGGGGGGGGGTAGAAGAGAGGGTAGGGGAAGCCATGACTCACCCCAGCCAATCAAGCCGAAAACCCATCCAGCAAGCAAAGCCTTGTGGGGGCTTAAGGGCTCACTTGGAGGTTCACACTTAGGAGCCCCCCCACTACAACTGCACTTGCAAACCCCCTAAGTCCCCTAAGTAGGTTCTAAGTAGACTTATAAGTGGGGTTATAGCCCTAAACCCTAACCCCTAAACCCTAAACCCTAAACCCTAAACCCTAAACCCTAAACCCTAAACCCCAGGAACCTCCAGGTAGGGTGGTTTTCGGGTAGGAACTTCGGGTAGAGCGCGGGATTCGGGCTGTAGGGTGTTCGGGCTCAGAACTTAGGGTTTAGGGTTTAGGGTTTAGGGCTTAGAGTTGAGGGTTCAGGGTTTAGGGTTTAGGGTTTGGGGTTTAGGGTTTAGGGTTTAGGGTTTAGGGTTTGGGGTTTAGGGTTTACGGTTTAGGGTTTAGGGTTCAAGGTTTAGGGAAGCTCTCAAAGCAAAACTGGACAAGGGCAAGGGCCTTGCTGTACTGAGCATCGCCATTGACGACAAACACTTCGGCCCCTGATGCAGAGGAGTAACCCTCAAGCCTAAACCCTAAACCCGTGAACGATTGCTGCCATTCACAACCCTTAAGGCCCAGAATCGTGCAAAGGACAGCGGTTGAGGGATGTGCGTTTGGTAGTTGCGGCTTTGACTGCAGGAAAGGTGCCCAAGATGCGCAGATAAACCCTAAGAACTCAAAACCCTAAACCCCAAACCCTAAACCCTAAACCCCAAACTCTGGGCTGCTTTGGGGTCGGAAAGCGCCAGGCGGAGCCTTTCAGTAGCTGGCTGGCAACAGGCACCTTCCAGCACAGTGCAGGGGTTTAGGGTTTAGGGTTTAGGGTTTAGGGTTTAGGGTTTAGGGTTTAGGGTTTAGGGTTTAGGGTTTAGGATTTAGGGTTTAGGGTTGAGGGTTGAGGGTTGAGGGTTTAGGGTTTAGGGTTTAGGGTTTAGGGTTTAGGGTTTAGGGTTTAGGGTTTAGGGTTTAGGGTTTGGCGTTTAGGGTTTGGTGGAATACGGCGTTTACCCTATGCCCTAATGCCTGAAAACGCACAAGGGCTTTTGGCGTTAAACTGTTTAGAATTAGAAGCCTTTAGCAGTTGTGGGGCTTCACAAAGGTTAGGCTTCAGGTGTTAAAGCTTAGAGGGGTTTAGGGTTTTGCATGTAGGGGCCTACCAGTGTTTAGGACTCAGGACCCTAAGCCCTAAGCCGTAAGCCCTAGGCCCTAAACCCTAAACCCTATAAACCCTAAACCAAACCCTAAACCCTAAACCCTAAACCCTAAATCCTAAACCCCCCCCCCCTCGCCGTACCTTCCAGGGGTTGCCCTTCCCTCGTAAACCCTACGTTGACAACTAACGATGACAAAGCACACATAACAGTCACGAATAGACCTTGGGATGTTCCCCCTTATACCAACAGTCCTTAATAGGATTTAGGGTTTAGGGTTTAGGGTTCAGGGTTTAGGGTTTAGGGTTTAGAGTTGGGATGTTCCCCTTTATACTCAGAGTCCTTACGAGGGATCCGAGTACCCCCTACTAGAATCCCTCTTAAGAAGTACTAGTACAAGGGGGAAACATCCCAAAAAGGAACTTTCTGGAACCCCGCCACTCTGTTGCTGAGACGTGTCTTCTCGGAGCTCTTACTTGTTGGGCCTGCTGCACAGTCCCGCAGCCGCCAGGTGACTAGGCATCCTAGTACGAATCCTGGCGCTGGCCTCCAAGTGATGAACCGCAAGGCGCTCCCGCAGCAATGCTCAGAAGTGAGTGCGTCGGCTCTCTCGAGTACGAAAATACGTTGGCAGCTTCCCCATTGCAAATTATCTTAAGACCGGCCCGCTTTCGAGTCGCCTCCTCATGAGTTTCCACTCCATCTGCATGCACCAAACGCTATACCCTGACCCTAACATCAAGACAGTATACCTCGCAGTCTAATGCTCTAAGTAAGGGCCAAACCCTGAACCCCATTCATCCCTAAGTATTCAAGCCCTCTTCATCCTAAACCCTGAACCCTAAACCCTAAACCCTAAAACCCTGAACCCTAAACCCTAAACCCTGAACCCTAAACCCTAAACCCTGAACCCCAAACCCGAATCCCTAAATCCTGAACCCCAAGCCCTTGCAACCCTCCACGTCCCTGCCTGCGCGGTGTCTGCCGGGCGAAAGCCTTCCAAGACCTGCTCCCAGCAAGGTCGAAGATTTGACTCATAGGGTTTAGGGTTTAGGTTTAGGATTTAGGGTTTAGGGTTTTAGGGTTTAGGGTCTAGGGTGTAGGATTTGCGGTTTAGGGTTTAGGGTTTGGACGTTTAGGGTCAAGGGGTTTGAGGGTACGGGTTGAGGGTGTAGGGTGCAGGGTGAACTTTGCCCCACACCCTAAGCCCTAAGCCCTAAGCCCTAAACCCCCTAAACCCTAAACGCTAAACCCTAAACCCTAAACCCTAAACCCTAAACCCAAACCCCAAACCCCAAACCCTCCCCGTCGTCCGCACCCCAAAAGACCGCCCGCGGCGAAGTGGCGGGGCGCGGCGCTCGCCGCGGGCTTTCGCTGGCGAGGGGCCTCTGCACGTTTAGGGGTTGGGGTTTGGGTTATAGGAGAAAAAGGGGTACCCAGTTTCTGCTTTCGGGGTTTAGGGTTTAAGGTTTAGGGTTTAGAGTTTGGGGTTTGGGGTTTGGGGTTCAGGGTTTGGGGTTTAGGGCTTAGGGTTTAAGGGTGTCAACTTGTATGAATGGGCATCCTAACTTACAGGGCCTGAGGCTTTTTGTCGGCACTCTGAAGATGTATGAACTCTCTATCTTGCGGGTCTCGGCTGCGGTTTAGGGTTTAGGCTTCAGGGTCTAGGCTGTAGGCCTTAGGGTTTAGGGTTTAGGGTTCAGGGGAGGGTTTGGGGTTTAGGGTTTGGGGTTTGGGGCTTAGGGGTTTTTATTTTTTGGGGTTTAGGGTTTAGGCTTTAGGGTTAAAGGTTTGAGGTTTAGGGTTTAGGGTTTCGGTTTAAGGCTCAGGGTTTAGGGCTTAGGGTTTCAGTCTTCAGGGTTTAGGGTTTAGGGTTAAGGGTTTAGGGTTTAGGGTTTAGGGTTTAGGGTTGAAGCCCTCTCAGGGCCTGCTTCCTTGTCGGTGTCGTCCTCGTTGTCGCTGCGCACTTCCACCTGGCTCAGGGCGAAGCGGCAGTCCGACCAAACCCTAAAGCCTATACACCCTAAACCCTAAACCCTAAACCCTAAACCCTGAAACGCAAACTCCCACACCCTACACCCCAAAAGCTTGAAACCCTGGGAACACGTAAACCTCTAAACCTCCACACCTCAGAACCTCCAAACCTCTAAACCTCTAAACCCCACACCTCTGAACCTCTGAACCTCTAAACCCCAAATCCTAAACCCTAAACCTCCAAACCTCTAACATCGAAACCCCAAGCCCTCAACCCTAAACCTCAAAAAAAGCCAACCCTAAACCCTAAACCATGAGCCCCAAAACCCTGAACCCTAACCCCAAACCCTAACCCTAAACCCTAGCCCTAAACCCTAAACCCTA